GAATTTGTACGTTACAGCGGTGTTTAGGACGTTTGGCGGTGACCCACATCCGTTCGAAGCTCTATTTAGGCTACCCACACCTTGGCGAGTTAGATCTAGGTGACCCACATCTATACAAAGTCAGTTTTGGTGGTAATACGTCATTCGAACCCTTTTAGAGTTAATTTCGAAGGATAAATAGCGTACGTAACGTGCTCTATTTTCTGTTTTGGTGTGATTAGGGTGAGGTCGACGCAAAACTTAAGGGCACGGTTGTGAGTAAGTAGACAAGGGGCGTGTGCGTGTGTTAATGTATGCTCGGTGGTCTCTAACGTGCTGATTTTAAAACGTTTAATGCTAATTTTGTGGTGTCATTGTGCGAAATAATTTTCGTTGTGGTAGTCGATATACTTGGAATGGTGTTGGGTATTTGTCGATGAAAAATGGTGAGTTTTCTGCTTTGCTAAATTGTAAGTATTGGTGTGGTAATGTTTGTTGCCTGGATATGTATGTTTTGTTCGGCGTGTTTAGCGAGCTATTATTCTTAGTAATACTTGTTAAATAATGATGTTGGATATTGAGCATGATTGGGTTGTTATTTCGTTATTAGAAAGTTGATAAAGTTGTGAAAGCATGCTGAACTGTACTTGTGAGTTGATGGATGCAGGGTTCGTGGTAAAAGAAAGTATATAGTAAGACTCTGGTGAAGGTTGGATTTTTGGAAGGAATGAAAGAGTGGGTGTCAGGGCCTCAGGTATAAATGGTCGAGGGCTGATACGTCACTGACGGAGTATCGAGACCTCGGGTATAAATGGTCGAAGGTCGATACTAGGAGTCCTTTGGAGGGAAGACTATTGGGGCCTTGGGTATAAATGGTCAAGGGCCAATAGATGGTGAAGTCATCGGGGCCTCGGGTATAAATGGTCGAGGGCCGATGCAGCAGGGTCGGGGCTCTGGGTATAAATGGTCAGGGGCCGACTCTACTCGAAGGAGATAGCTGTGGAAGAGTAGGATAACTGTGATAAGCATAGAGGTACTTGTGATGTTAGGGAGTCTAAGGGTTGGTTGTTAACGTGCTTCCTGGCTGTGGTTGTCACTAAAATGTTATGGAATGTGTTTATGTTTGAATGCATAGTGTATTGAAAAGCATGACTACGAATGTTTCTAGATAGAGTTGAGAATGATGTGTGTGTGTGTTGGTGAGAGCTACTTACGGAGTATATTTTATATACTCACCCCCCCTCTACAATGATTGTTTCAGGTAAAGGACTCGCGGGCGACCATGGTGATGGGACGGAGGAGACATGACGAGCGAGGACCATAGGCTTCCTAGTCACTCTTGCTTAGTTTAACTGATTAGTCAAAACATTATGTTAGGGTCAATAAATTATTTGTTTGTATTTGAATAATTGGGATATTTCCCCTTGTTGTTAGTTTCATTTCGGGATGGGTGCCTATTTTAGTTTCATTCCATGCTTTGAGTTTTGCCTAGTTTGAATAATAAACTTGCCTCGTGAGGTGGTCCACGAACGTTGTCGAATGATATACTATGAGATTGATTTGTCGTTAGATTGATGAGAATTGGAACTTGTTCTTATATATTTGTTTGTATAGGGAGTTGGCATGACGTATTTGGGGGTTAAGTTTAATTAGTTGGGTAGTTAACCTGACCGAGAATTGTGTGGGAAATTCTAGGTCATTACACCATATGTATTTATGACTCTAACTGGCTTCCTGTTGATAATTCGCTTCAGGTTCAGTCCCCACGCCACCTTTCACCGTCTAGCCGGGTGTGTGAGCGTTTTTTGGCTTCAAGCCAGTGGAATGAACCTTTGGTGAAGGCAGTTTTCAATGCAGACGAGGCTCGTTCTATTGTCGCAATTCCGCTCCATGGGTTGTATCAAGCGAACACGCATATTTGGCATTATGCTAAGACGAGTATTTATTCTGCCAAAAGTGGTTATTCTCTTGCTCAGCAACAGGTTATCCTAGGTCATCATCTTTCAGTCTGTCTTATCTGGTGCATTGGTGGAAGCGTGTTTGGCAACTGAATCTCCCAAGTAAAATAAAAATCTTTATTTGGCGCTTATGTCTGAATCGTCTCTCCACTTGTGGAGCTCTTATTACTTGTGGCGTGAATCTTTCGAATATATGCAGTTTGTGTGGGTGTTTGGGGGAGGATGTTCTCCATGTATTCTGGTCTTGTGTCTTTCGTTCCTAGTATTTTTATTTTGCTTTCTGATATGCAAGACCGATTGGCGACTCGCGATTTTGAAGAATTTTCTGTTATTCTTTGGGGCATTTGGAATTTGGCGGTTATTTTCCCGTGGGGGCTATGGATAGTTAGACGATACATTACATGGCTTCTTTCCACGTTGCGCGTGCCTCTCGATCATTGCCTTCTGCTTCCCGTGGCTACCATCCGGTTTGTCAATGGCTCCCTCCGACTTATGGTTTTCTTAAATTGAATACCGATGCCTCCTTCTATCCCTCTCGCTTCGCGCTGGTTTGGGGTTTATTCTCAGTGACACTGCTAGTAGTGTTCTCCTTGCTGGTTCTAAATTCCTTTCCCTTTGCGGTTCAGTCGATTTGGTAGAAGCTCTTGCTCTTCACGAGGGATGTCTCTTGTGGTGTTATCGTGTTTTCGACACCTCTTTTTGGAAACTGATTCGATGCGCTGTTTCTCGTTGCTTGAACATGGTATGGAGGACGTTTCGGAGGTGGGTTAGTTTCTGTCGGATCTTCGTCAACGTTGTTTGCAACTCGATTCTGTTCGTTTTTTGGTTTCATTCATCAGGAGAGTAATGGTGCGGCTCACCAACATGCTCGTCTTGCTTTCTTGCATCATTTGGGTTGCGTTTGGTTTGAATAAGTGCCTCCTGTCATTTCTAAGATAGTTCTTTCTGATTCTGCTATTTCTCTTGTTTAGTTTGTGTTTGTTGTTTCACTTGTCAAAAAAAAAATTTTATTTTTATATATTATACATAAATGTATCTTTTTATTTTTATTTTAATCAATAACATTATATGTAATGACCCCAATTTTTATATGTCATTAATAATANCCTTTGTTTTAAAACCAAACCAACCCAATAAAAGCCCAACATAACCAAGCCCAAGAGAAAAAGAAACTCATCCCAACTAAAGATAAAACCAATCACGCGGAACCCGATATATATAAATTTAATTAAAGTTTAATTTAAAATTAAATGAAAATCTCCTGATTCGAGACTAACTAACCTGAGGGACTCGGGGCGTTACAATCTTGGTCGTCACCATGGTATTGCAGGTCATCTGCTCTGACCTAGGCCCTTGACTGGGACCTAGTTCAGTTCGCCAACATCATCTCATTGTAAGTTTCTTCCAGAGTGCGCACTCGGTTGTGCATATCATCAACCTCCCGCTGGAGGGTAGCGAGAACTTCAGGATTTACAGCTGGTACAGTCCTTTTTGAGGTTTTCTTCGAGATCCCACCTGGACCTCGGCTGGTCTTGGCAAGCCTCAGATGAGTAGGACGCAAGGTGGTATTCCCATTACGAGTTGACCTCCGAGGTGGGTCAACCCGTTGTCCTGCTCGGACCTGATTTTCAGCAACCTTGGCATCAACCTCACGCTGCAGACCGTAATTGCCATTCAAGCCTCTCCGATCTACAGAGTTTGTGGAGTTCGCTGGCTAAACCATCTCGGATTGATTGGTTATTGGGAAGACTTAAGTTGTCCTTCCCCACAAGCGGCGCCAAATGTTTATGCAAGGAATTGCACAATGTCAAACTTCAGTCAAACTTGAACTCGGTCCTCGCTCCGACCTGAATCTCAAAGGGAAGAGCCAAGAGGGCAAAATCTTCGACGCTCAAAGCTCGGACTCAATATTAAATTTGGGAAGAAATTCGATACATGATGGTGAAATGAGGCCCTCCATTTATAGGTTTAGGTCCCACAGGGGTTATGACAGGCGGTTACCTTGGTCGGAATTGAGATCGGAACTGTCGGGTTTGAGCAGATCGAACCCAGACAACTTTACTCACATATCAATAGCTTAATGATTAAAAGAATGGCGAAGTCATCCACTTCGGAAGGTTTCGAGGTAGAGCAACAAATCACCGTGCTCCACGTGGCAATCTAGTTTCCATCCCAAAATAGGTTAGATGGGAGGCCATGTTTGGCCTGAGTGTTTTGGTTAAAGGTATATTGAACTCTTGTTTTCTTGTGTGTGTGGTTGAGCCTCTAGATTTTTCTATTTTTAAAAAATTTGAAAAATGGTTGTTAGTTTTGGAAATTTCTATTATTTTTTTACTACTTTGCAAGAGTCCCTTAAAAAAAATTAAAAACAAAAATTTAGGTTCCTAATTGAAACTTTAAAATATAGGATGTAATTGAAACTTTATAACTTTTCAGATGTATTTGAAATCTTTTAGAGCTAAAATACTAAATTGACACCATTATAAAATTTGGGGACTAAATTTTCATACTTTCATGTATTTCTAATTAACATTAGATATAACAAATTTATGATTTTCACCTTTAGGCATTTATCCTTCTTATTGGACTACCATTATGTCAAACATCAGTCAATACATACCAAATAAGTCATCGTGAAAGGGATACAACTTGAGAAACTTGTACAATAAATAAAATTGAAATTATTCAATCGACAATTCCGTTGGATTCTCAACAGTGAGAGACGCTCCATTGTCTGATGGAGTGAGATTAAGAATCATTGTTGCCGCTTTTACAGCCCTGTAAAAATGATAAAATGGATATTTAAATCAATTAATATATATTATCTATGCAAATAAACAATTAACAAGAACTTTGATTCTGTTCATTTATGGAAGATGGGTTTATGAATAAATGAGTGATGAGTGAATTTAAAGTAAAAAATGTAAAACTTGTAACCCTTGATTATTTAGATAATCTAACTTCACTCATTGAATTCTATGATCTAATTAGATCCATAAATATTTTACTCTTCATTTTTTAGGCTGTTAATTGATTATAATTTCTTAAAATTTTCATTTTCCATCTTAATAATAATACACTACATACCATCTTTCAGGTGATTGATACTTTGAAGCTAAATCGCCAAAGAATGAAACAAGCATATCCGTATATATGGTGCCAGGATCTAAAGCCACAATTGCTATTCCCTCTGGTAATTCTTTTGCTACAGATTTGCTTAATCCTTCAACTGCCCACTTAGATGCAGAGTATGGTGCAATCTACAATCAAAATAATAATAATATATATATATATATATAATAAAATAAAATATGATATGATATGATATAGTTTAGTAGCTTAAGAATAATATTTTTAATTAGAATCTTTATTACCCTGTAAATTCCAATAAATATGCTTTAAATCTTGATTTAGGGTTTATGATTGAAATACTTAAATTCAACGAAGACCATGTTGAATACAAGTGCACTCGTATCACAAAAATATATCATTGACCAGATTTAAGACTACCTAAACCACCCTAGGTAAATTTTAAACTAAGATTTGAATGTCAAATTTAAATTACTAGGTTAGAGAGGTAAATAAGATAATATATTGTCTATGTAAAAATAACTTTTGAAGAAATAACTACGAATCTTGTTTAACTTATCTCTTAGGGACACGAAACTGATGAAAACTTACTATGAAACCAAATTTAAAAACTTTTTCATGTGTATTATTCAATAGTAATACGTAAGTACGTACATATTCATGTGCTTTTCTCCCGGAAATTGAAGACATGTTGATGATAATTCCTTGCTGATTAGAAATCATAGGAGGAATGAAATGACGCAAAACATTTGCTATCCCTTTGATATTAGTATCAATAACATTATCAAACTCTTCCACATCAACCTCCCATATCTTACCATTTCTATTAATGAAAGCTGCATTATTCACTGTCAACAATTCAAACACGATCTTTTAGTTTCCCAATTTTATCGTTCTAATAAGTTGTAGAAAAAAGTTAAAAGTAAAATATATTAAGGACCCATATTGACAAGATAAGGAAACTTAACAAGGATTTATAAAACAGGTGAACTACTTCTCTCATCACCAATTAATTTGAGAATGGAACCCATGAATATTGATAGAATATAATACCAATGATATCTGGGACAAGTTTTCTTTCTGCAACAACTTGTGCAAACTCTTCGACACTGTTGTTCGATTTCTGCAAAACCAACATTTTCAATCACATTTCGTAGTGTTAAAGCTAGCCATCTTGAGGGGACATGTTAAAGGATCTCACATTAAAAATATATGGTCCTCTCATCACCAATTGGTTTTGTAATAGAATCTCACACCAATATTGGTACTTAAAACTTTAGATGTGAAACGAAAACAAATTTACTAACCACGTCGCCCTTGAAGAGGAAGTGTTGATTGAGAGATGATCTAGAAAGCTCTTCGTGGAGGGAATCGAGTCTAGTCTGATCACGCGAGCAACCGATTATGGTGTGCCCTCGATTGGCTAACTCCAATGCTAGAGCCCTTCCTAACCCTTTGCTCACACCAGTTATCAACACCTTCTTAGACGATGGTTGCGATTCGCTCAAAGCTGAGGCCATGGAGTTTTGTTTTAGAACGTTTCTCAAAGATAAGAGTGAATTGTGAAGTTTAAGGATAAGGTTTGGTTGGTTTTCTCCAATTGTTTAATTTTATAAGTGACAAAATTTGATTAAATCAAAGTGAAGGAGCATCATGTATTTTTTTTTTTCCTTACCCATTATTAAAATGAAAATGGGAGGCAAATTCTTTCAATAATAGTGGTCCACGTGTCCATTTCTTTATTTGTTTCACTCTTGACTCTTAAATTTGGCAAATTGTATCAAACTTTACCATAAATTTAAACAAGCATTTCAATTAATACTTTCTATTGAAGGTCGCCTAATTCATCCATTAAGTTTAACAAAAATATAAAAAGTTTCAAAAACTCAGTACCTATTATAATACGGTTGTGTTTTCCTCAAAATTAATGAGTTTGATTGACACAAAAATTTACTATTAAATAAATCCCTCAAAATTTATAAATTACAAAAAAGAAATCTCTAATATCTTTATTTGTTTGAAATTTATTATTATATATATTTTTTAAACAATTTGTTTGAAATTCATTAATTTCACACAGAAATATATGTTTTTTAGTTCTAAACTTTAGTATTAAAATTGATCTACCTCAAACATACAAGCTTTTCATTTATTTTCTTATAAATGTTAATTTTTATGATTATGTTGTTTGTGTCGTTCATTGAGGAGATGATTAAATGGAGGAAAAATTTTGTTTCCTTCAAGTTAAAAGAGGAACTTCCTCCTTTACCATTAAATATTTGATAGTTAAAAAACAGAAACGTAAAAATTAAAAAAAAATCTAAAAAAATAATGAACTGTGTCAAACATTTCATGATATTAAAGAAAATTCAAATAGCAAATTAATTTTTTTCCTTAAATGAATACTTGTCGTGACTCATTTAATAAGATAGGCATTGAAAATTTTTGTTTTGTTCAAGACTTATCGAAAGAAACTTTTGGAAAAAGGTATATATAAAAGAGACTTTTGGAAGAAAGTAATATATATATAAGAAAGTTTTGAAAAAAAGTAATATATAGACATACTCTCTCGATAATGATTTTGGATAGTTATTTATTTTTGGTTTATACTCTAGCACCTGATTTTTTGGTCGGTGAACCTTCGACCTTATTCATTTGGTTTAATTTGCTTTTCTTGATCGATCTCTAATCTTTTCTTTGTTTAGTCTCTTTCTATGGTTCCTGTTTTCTAGTTTTTATGTACTCTTATTATTGATTATCTTCTATCTATTTTTAGTTGTGTCAGCTTTGGGATATTGAAAATATGTTTCAAGTATCTTTTTCAAATGAAAATTAATTAAATGTGTCATTTAAAAGAACTTAAATAATTTTTTTAATGTCTATTTTTAAAATTCTCAAACTAATTTTGATGCTGGAAATTTTTCTAAAATGCTTTTAATAATTTAAATGCATTATTCAAAATTTGAACCAAACACCAATTTTTTTTTTCTTTTAAAGAAAACACTATTATATAGTTTTCTATAATTATTTATAAACTCTAAGTTGAGTTTGGTATATCTTTCCCTTTCAGCACTTTATTTTCACTTTTTTATTTAGTATCGCTCTAATTAAAATCACCATTTAGATAATCATTATCTGTTTATATCAATATAATTTATTTAAAATATTTGTTTATTTAATACCAAATGCTCTAGATTTTTTTTATTTAAAAAATCACTTATTAAAGTAACTAAGGATATATTTAATAATGGTGTTGAATGATTTTGAAAAAGAGATTCAATGACAAGTCATTTTTATAAAATTATTTTAATGTTTGGTTACACACTATTTAAAATGATTTTCATAATTAAAATTGATTTTGGATGATTAATATTTTATTCTAAGCTAAGAGTGATATTTGAATTGTCAAATTAATAACATATATTTAAAAATTTATTTAAAACCATTAATTAAATAATTATGATAAAAATGATATATATAACTAAATAATCAATCCCAAAATTTTAGAGGATCAGAAAAAGAAAATTTAAAAAGAGATAACGATAAAAAATTTAGAGAGATTACAAAAATTTTAGAGAGAAGAAAAAAACATTTATAGAGAACAAACAAAATTAAACATTCTTTTTCCAAGAAAGAAAAACAAAATTACACAAAATTTTGGGACAAAAAAAACTAAATTTCTCAAAATTCAAAGTGAAAATTAGATCAAATGGAAAGGTAAATTTAAAAATTAAAACCACAACTATTTTAAAAACTATTTCCCTATTGTTTCTTTCTTTCTTGATATAAAAATACTTAGAGGATCACCTCCCAAATAAAAACTAATTTCCAAAATCACTTAGGAATGAGTACCAATTTTTACATGAACAAAAGCATCATGCCAAAATAACTCTCAGATATATCCTAAAACACACTCGAAATTTGTAATTCTTTCAAAAATACGTGTAGAAAAGTGTTTTTACGGTAAAATCACTTTTTCAAAAGACATTCAAAACACGCCATTATCTAATACGGTAAGATTTGTCTCCTCTTTTGCAGTATCATAGACTTTGGGCAAAATCACCGGCATAGCATATAAAACTCATTTGTTTTGATACGAAAATTTTTTAACTAAGAAAAGAATGGAAGATCAATTCGATCTTTCTATATCAATTTTCCCTCATATAAATCAAATAAAATCATTAATCTCCAAAGTTGAAGTTATCTTATTCAACATTTTGTCACTGTAATCCAATTTTCCAAATCCATGCTTTCTATTATTAGTATTATTATTATTATTTTGGATTATCATGCTACAAGACATTTAACATAAGGCATCTCGCATAACTCGAAGTGAGTCTCACTCCCCTTGAGCTCGACGAGGCTAGAATGGTTCCTAAGATGCCAAAATGAACACCAAAAACACAACCTACGTAGGTCATGATCCATGATACGCATTTGCTCATCTAAGAATGCAAACTTACTCATCCTACTATGTCCTGGGACCATCCTTGCCATTATCTACTCATTTTTTATAGGTCCGAGCAGCCGTAACGAGCTAGGTTTCTTGAGGAATGTTGTTGTAGTTTTACCCATCATCTTCGTCAAAATGATGTTGGTGCAACGTGAATGTTGGGGTGAGCACTACTTATAATGTCAGTGTTACCATAAACGATACCAAATGTTGATGCATAAAATTGACCAAGCATAATAACTCAATTACTACCTCACTTATTATAATGAGTGAGATTTAACAAAGTATGTAGTGAAAAAAAGAACTGTGCACTAGTACGGTGCTAACAAAATATATTCTAATGCCTAAGCTAGACCATTGATTATAATAAACTTAGCAAAATTAGAGTTTTTTTTAGTATACATTTCAAGTAATATTTCATCTCCTATTTATAGAGGTAGTTTTCTTTGGTCTCAAGTAATTTGAATTGTCTATTAATTTTTTCTTTTTTATTTTCAGCAATGATCTTGTTGATTCTTCTACATTCATGAAGGACTTATGACGTATGAGATTTTCTACATCACCCCTAATTTATAACGACGTTAATGGCATCAAAGTCTCTTAACTGTTGGGTCACCTCAGCCACCTCGTCCTTTTGGTCTTGGTGGTCGACTTAGTTTTCGAGCGAGATCCTTGTCTTTGCTGACATTTGGTTAGTGTTGTTTACCTCCAAGTCTTCTTTTCAGTGGGATCTCCAAAATTCACCCATAACACTACCTTTACACATATTTGAATAGTCATGTTATTAATTTAGTGAATAATTGACAACATTATACAAACGATCATGATTATTTTTGAAAAAAAATAAAGACTAAAATATACCTCTTAAGTTTTTAAAACAAAAACATAAAAAGACACAGATTGAGGGATAAAAAAATTCAAAAGAGAAATAAAATTTTTGAGAACTTAAAACATTTTAATGTTACAAATGCTATAATCAAAGTTCCAAATCATTAAAGTTAAGGAAGATCCTTCTGAGGACATATAAGTCAAAAGCAACCAATATTTTGAACACAAAAGTTGACAATATCATACAAGGAAAAAGGTTTATTCTCCTTTAGCTGTAAATTCATTGTCTTAATGCGTGATAAGATATCCAATACAATCGGGACATATCATAGTAAAGAAAAATGTGTTATGCCTTATGCTATTTTTCCAAACTTAAAACTCTCTTTTCTTATTTTTCCTCTTTCCTCTGCGATTAATCTCTCAGATTGGAGTTGTCATATTCAAAATATTTTATCTAATTGCTCACAATTCTTTGAGGGTCATGATCAATTTTGAGAAAAGATTGCGTACACGTTGGATAAGCTATGTCTTGCAATAATTATTTTTTTGACGTTACCTCGTTTCCCCAAGGATATTGTCCATAATTTAATAGATTAAATTTGACTTTATTGTGTATAACCAATTGTTTGTGCCCATAGCAAAAGTTGTATATAAATGTTTTGTCATGTTGTTTATGTATTTTAATATAAGTTTTTCTATAATGGGTAGAATAAATAATCTAGTAGAAGTGTAATGACTATAATTGCAATGCATTGTATATCCCATGCCTAGAATAAATTTATGAAGAACGTTAATTAAGTGAACAACATTTGGACACTACAACCAATTAAGTATCTTTTTTTTGTTTTGATGCACTAGACGGATCAAATGTACTATGCTTCACCAGATATGATGCAATATCAGTTCATTGATGCGCGCTGTTGGACAGGTGTCACACCAATTGTTCGCTTTTGGTGAACACACAAGAAAAACTAGCACCGATTTAGAGCTCGAAAAACATGGTATTCGATTCCTAAGTTAGAAACCAGGAGGGGGTGATGAGTGTGTCTAGTTAAGGTTGATTGCAAGAGCTCACGTTCCTTTGAGAAGGGTGTGATTGTTTGGAAAAATATGCCCAATGTGCAATACTCCCCGTCCTAGAATTGAGGTACCCAACAGAGTCTAATTAAGACGTTTTCCCATGAGCAAGTCATAGTAAACTACAAAATAAAGGAAATACAAGTACGCAAAAACGACATAGATATTTATACTCGTTCACTACAAACACGAGCTACGTCCATTATGATAGGAAATATTACAAGAGACCTTACAAACG